CCGGGAATCCTGGGTCTCCTCCTCCTTCCCTGGGGCCTGCTTCCCCAGCAGACACTCCGTCAGTTCAGGCACGCTTTGCAGAGCTCTCTGGAGCCTTCTGTGCCACACCCAGTCTTCACTTGCCCATCAGCCACCAACTGGGGATCTTCTGTAGCTTTGGCTCCCGACTGGGTGTGCAGAAAGAGTAAATCGAACGCTAATTCAGGCCCTGACACATCTTGAGTAAACCACTCAATCTGGGACCCATTTTCCTCATCTAGTTAACCACTGAATATAAAGTAAAATGTGCTTATGCAGTTAAAGTTTTATTTTCTATCTTTTCTGCATTTCCCATTCATCCTAGTTTTTGTTCAAGTCGGAAAACAGTTCCCACTAGAAATTACTCTGCAGTTTTCTTTCTTTTTTTAGCATTTCCTGTTTTTGGAGGGAGGAAAGAAAATTATTTGCCCATATATTTGATCCAAGCAAAAGTGTGGTCAACTGACCTACAATAAAGAACTCACTTTCTCCAAGTAAGGTGCACCCCTAGAATTTGGAGCAAGGTTAGGAAGCATTATTTTATTTTTATTTTTTTAGGAAGTGTTTTTTTTTTTTAATGTTTCTTTATTTTGAGAGAGCACAAGCAGCGGAGGGACAGAGAGAGAGAGAGAGAGAGAGAGAGAGAATCTGAAGCAGGCTCCAGGCTCCCATCTGTCAGTACAGAACCCAGTGGGGGGCTCAAACCGGTAAACTGTGAGATCCTGACCTGAGCCGAAATCAAGAGTCGGACGCTTAACCAACTGAGCAACGCAGGTGCTACAGGAAGTGTCATTTTAATTAAAAAAATCAAGTCAATATATGGCCTCATTCATTGTGGAGATCCTTGTTGAGATAACCCAGCCTAAGAATTTGCAAATGTGTGCTGAAAAACATTAAGAGTATCCTTAGCATCTCATCAGGGGTTGGTCAGACAAATGTATTAAGGATTATAAAATCCTGGTAAGCTGTGGTCTCATAAAATAAGAATTAATGTCCAATGCAAACAGAAAGAGTCTGGAAGATGAGTTGGAGAAGAAGAAAACATTAGTATTTAACAAGCTCTGTTCAGGGAAGAATGCTCTAATTTTTGACAGCCGTCTTAGATTCTTAGAAAGTTTCTGGAAGTCCATGGTAGCCAGCCTTCAGTGTGCATCATGTTCCCCTGGTGCGCTTGTTAAGACACAGACTGCTGGGCACCTGTCTCGGAGTGTCCAAGTCTGAGGCTGGTGGGGGTGGGGGTGACCAGAATCTGTTTGTTTTTTTTTTTTTTAGCATTTATTTATTTTTTAGACAGAGAGAGACAGAGCATGAACGGGGGAGGGTGAGAGAGAGAGGGAGACACAGAATCTGAAACAGGCTCCTGGCTCTGAGCGGTCTGCACAGAGCCCGATGCGGGGCTCGAACTCACGGACCGCGAGATCATGACCTGAGCCGAAGTCGGCCGTTCAACCGACTAAGCCACCCACACCCCCCCAGAATCTGTTTTTCTAACTAGCTCCCCGGTGATGCTGATTCTACTGATGTGGTGATCATACTGTGAGAACCACTGCCCTGTTTATCAGGTTCCCACAGCTGCCTCCCATTCCCATGCTCGGATTTTAGAAATACATTAAACAAAAAACACAAAAACTTTACACCACGATGTGGTTTATTGGGCAGACCAGCCTGGTGTAGCTTTTTTGTATGTATGTATGTATGTATGTATGTATGTATGTATGTATGTATGT